AGAGATCGATTTTGTCTTTCTTTCAGAAACCCTCGCCGACGACTCAGGGTTTGGTTTCGGGCGATGCTACAAGCGGCGGAGGAGGTTTACGGTCTACTGTGAAGGAAGAAGATGTAAACGGCGACGATTCGGTACGCTCTGTGGAACGAAATGTATCGAAATCTGTGGATGAGGTCAGAGGAACTGATACTCCGCCGGAGAAGGTTCCGCGTCGTGTCCTGCCGTCCAGCTTCAAGACGGCTGAATCCGCCGGAGGTGGTGCTTCGTCGCTGTTCTCCAATATCATGCATAAGTTTGTAAAAGTCGATGACCGAGAATGTTCTGCAGAGAGGTACTATCTCCGTTTCTCTTGATTTTGAAGTTATTAGCTGGACTAAGTAATCATTAGGTCTAGATAATTGTATGGAAGATTGTTTATGTTTCCTTAGGAGAAGAAGAGTAATGTAATGTTGCTCACGGTGGAGATTCTGATTACTGTTTTGTACCATTTTTTGGTAACTTTCAGGAGCCGAGAACATGTCGTTCCGCTTCATGATGATTCGTCCGTGTGTACGAGAGCTGATAATGTATTTCCTCAATGTCATTCCAATAATGGTCAGCCTCAAGAAAGAGACCATGCTTTCAGTGTCAGTGGGACAGTTGGTCTAAGATCAGTAGAAGATGAAGGAGTAGATAACGATGTTCTTGGCCCAGAAACACCAGGGATGCGTCCAAGTGTTCCTCGTTTGAAGCGAGTTCTGGAGGATGGAATGGCTATCAAGGAGAATAAGGTCACTGCATTAGATTCTAACAAAAGGCTGAAAATGCTTCAGGATCCGGTTTGTGGAGACAAGAAAGAAGTAAACGAAGGAACCAAATTTGAATGGCTTGAGCCTTCTCGGATCAGGGATGCCAATAGAAGACGGCCTGATGATCCCCTTTATGATAGGAAGACCCTATACATACCACCTGATGTTTTCAAAAAAATGTCTGCGTCGCAGAAGCAATATTGGGGTGTCAAGAGTGAATATATGGATGTTGTGCTTTTCTTTAAAGTGGTTAGTGAATATCAATTAAGTGTTCGATCTTTTTCCTCATTGCGACTGGTTCATTTACATCTATCTCCCTATGTTATGTTCTTCTCAGGGAAAATTTTATGAGCTGTATGAGCTAGATGCAGAAGTAGGTCACAAGGAGCTTGATTGGAAGATGACCTTGAGCGGTGTGGGAAAATGCAGACAGGTAAATTAGTTGAAACAACTGGGCCTGCTTGACTAATTACATTTACTAAGTCTATAGATTTAACGTTCCTTTTTTATTAGGTCGGTATCTCTGAAAGCGGGATAGATGATGCAGTGCAAAAGCTATTAGCTCGTGGGTAAGGGAACTATCATACTTTTTGGATATTCCTTTGCTAGTTAACTAAAGTGACAGTTACCGATTATTGCGTTTACTTATATGTGGTACACTTATTTTTCTTTCATGGAGGGTTTCAAGCCTTGTGTTGAAACTGTATTAGGAACTAACAGGCATAGTCATATGTTTTCCTTCCACGACTTTTGTATTGACACATTTTTTGTTTCTTTTGGAAGATATAAAGTTGGACGAATCGAGCAGCTAGAAACATCTGACCAAGCAAAAGCCAGAGGTTCAAATTCTGTAAGTTGTCTTGGGAACAGGTCAAGGAGGGTGCAGTCTGTTCTTGATAATTTCTTTTTCTACTATACTAGTTTCATGCTGTAGTTAAATCAGTGGCTGTTCTGGTCTGGTTATCAGATAATTCCGAGGAAGCTAGTTCAAGTATTAACTCCATCAACAGCAAGCGAGGGTAACATCGGTCCTGATGCTGTCCATCTTCTTGCCATAAAAGAGGTTTGTTATTTGTCTTATCAAGTGAAATCCAATCAAGTCCTTGATACTCACTCTTCTTTAACAATCTTGCTTCCAGTAGTAAGGATTTTGGAATTAAAATATCAAGATTTGCTGTTTTTGTTTTATTTGCAAGAGAATTGAAAGAAGTTTTAGTTGAAGTGCAGACTAAAGCTCTGTTTAAGATTCTCTGAAAAATTAGTCTATGTAACTGGATCTACTTTTTTACAATGATATAGCGTCCAATTTCATGTCAAGGGTATCAGTACTTGTTACTGCATTTCTTCTTTTTATAATGACCATTGGTTGTGTTATGTTTGTCTTGCTTGCTGGATAGAATGATAGCTAATTAAACCCCTACATTAGTCATGATAAAGTTAATGCAAAGCATTGATTTTGGATAATTGTTTAGAAGTAGCTCAGGAATTGGCTTTGGTTTCAGTGTATATGAATTGATGTCAATTTTGCTTCTGAATTTTGACTTAGGTCAAAACGGAGCTAGAAAAGTGTTCAAATGTGTATGGATTTGCTTTCGTTGACTGTGCTGCCTTGAGGTTTTGGGTCGGGTCCATCAGTGATGATGCCTCATGTGCTGCTCTTGGAGCTTTATTGATGCAGGTATGGAAGTGTGTTGTGTATCGTCTGCTCTGAGGCTTTGAGCGCGTATTTTTGGTTTGCAGGAATAAGTTCTGAATCACCTTTTGGTATTTTTTTTCCCAGGTTTCTCCGAAGGAAGTGGTATATGAAAGTAAACGTAAACTGCTTATACACCCAGTTGTTTTGTCAAACAGAATTTATGGTAGATGAGACTGCTTAAGATTAAGTGCGTAAACGTTGAAATATTGCAGGGCTATCAAGAGAAGCGCAAAAGGCTTTAAGGAAATATACATTGACAGGTACCATTTCAGTAGGCGACATAACTGAAGTTTCGGAAAATTTGCTCTTACAAGATCATCATGTTAGGCTAGATGTGCAGATACGTGCATGAAAATTTGTGTACCTTTAGCTGCTCACCTAATGATAGATCTCTTAAACATTTCTAATGTAGATTATCTCGGTCTTTGTTTTTTTATAGGTTCTACGGCGGTACAGTTGTCTCCACTTCCACAAGTAATGGGGGATACAGATGCTTGTGGAGTGAGAAAAGTGATAGAATCCAACGGATACTTTAGAGGTTCTTCTGAATCCTGGAACTCTGCTGTTGATGCTCTAGCTGAATGTGACATTGCCCTTAGTGCCCTTGGGGAACTAATCAATCATCTGTCTAGGCTAAAGGTCGGTTGGCTTGGTTAATTTTTCGTTTTTCACAAGTTAAGCAATGGGAAATCTTCATAACTCACTGGTTCAATCTACCTGCAGCTAGAAGATGTACTTAAGAATGGGGATATTTATCCATATCAAGTTTACAGGGGTTGTCTCAGGATTGATGGCCAGACGATGGTAAATCTTGAAATATTCAACAATAGCTGTGACGGTGGTCCTTCAGGCAAGTGCATGTTATGTTATTTTTTATAGCTTCAAATAGAGGGTAGACAGAAGTGGTGGATATTCATATTCTAATTTTTGTTTGCTCTGCAGGGACCTTGTACAAATATCTTGATAACTGTGTTAGTCCCACTGGTAAGCGGCTCTTAAGGAATTGGATCTGCCATCCACTGAAAGATGTAGGGAGCATTAATAAAAGACTCGATGTAGTTGAGGAATTCACGGCAAACTCAGAAATTATGCAAATCACTGGCCAGTATCTCCATAAACTTCCAGACTTGGAAAGACTGCTCGGACGCATCAAGTCTAGCGTTCAATCATCAGCCTCTGTTTTGCCTGCTCTCCTTGGGAAAAAAATGCTGAAACAACGAGTAAGTTCCAAACACGCATTTCTGAATGATGCCTTCCATGATTTGTATAGGGCTTAAACATTACGGGTCTAGCTAACAATTGCTCTCCCTCTTTTGCAATATGTCTGGTTACCCATTACTCGTCTTCAAACTTATTGCATTGCAGGTCAAAGCATTTGGGCAAATTGTGAAAGGGTTCAGAAGTGGAATTGATCTTCTGTTGGCTCTACAGAAGGAATCAAATATGATGAAATTGCTTTGTAAGCTATGTAAACTTCCTATAATAGTCGGAAAAAGCGGGCTAGAGTTATTCCTATCTCAATTTGAAGCAGCCATTGATAGCGACTTTCCAAATTATCAGGTGCCCATCTATCTTGCAAACTCATACTTTTGGCAACAAAATTTCTGTCACTGCTCAAAGACATGTTCTCATGCTCAAAAGCTAGCCTTTTATCGGTAGTTTGTTTATACTGTTGATGTCATTTGCATATGTTAGATCTCAACTCACCCCACCAGGGATATTACAGGAGTTTGCTTTTTAATCCTGAAAGCTTTTAGTATACGAATTTGGTTTTGTATATGGTTTGATATGTATCTAACTGTAACTTTTCAATCTTGTACCAGAACCAAGATGTGACAGGGGAGAATGCGGAAACGCTCACAATACTTATTGAACTATTTATCGAAAGAGCCAGCGAATGGTCTGAAGTCATTCACACCATAAGCTGCCTCGATGTCCTGAGATCTTTCGCAATCGCTGCAAGTCTATCTGCTGGAAGCATGGCCAGGCCTGTTGTTTTTCCCGAATCGAAAAACACAATTCAGAATCAGGAAACAAATGGGCCAATACTTAAAATCCAAGGACTATGGCATCCATTTGCAGTTGCAGCCGATGGTCAATTGCCTGTTCCAAATGATTTACTCCTTGGCGAGGCTAAAAGCAGCAGCGTACATCCTCGGTCGTTGCTACTCACAGGACCAAACATGGGTGGAAAATCAACTCTTCTTCGTGCCACATGTCTTGCCGTTATCTTTGCCCAGGTTTGTACACACTCGTTACATAAATCACTGCTTTAAGCAACCATTTTCTTGGATATAACAACAATTTTTTTTTTTTTGTCAGCTTGGTTGTTATGTGCCTTGTGAGACTTGTGAACTCTCCCTCGTAGATACAATCTTTACAAGACTTGGCGCATCTGATCGAATCATGACAGGAGAGAGTACGTTTTTTCTTTCTATAATTACTTGATCCTCCTCAAACAAATACTAGTTATGCGGATTTTGTCTGATGACCGGTTCGTTTTTTTTGGTAGGTACTTTCTTGGTAGAATGCACAGAGACAGCGTCAGTTCTTCAGAATGCAACTCAGGATTCATTAGTAATCCTTGACGAACTTGGCAGAGGAACTAGTACTTTCGATGGATACGCCATTGCATATTCCGTAACACCTCCTCTTCTCTTCTCCAGGAGAAGTTCTCCTTGAATTTTGTACTCTTCTGATCAACAATTTCAGTTTGCTAAAACTTATGGATTTGAATCAGGTTTTTCGTCACCTAGTAGAGAGAGTCCAGTGCCGGATGCTCTTTGCAACGCATTACCACCCACTCACCAAGGAATTCTCGTCTCACCCACGTGTCACCTTGAAACACATGGCTTGCGCATTCAGATCAAGATCATCTGGTCAAGAACCGCGTCGCTGTGACCAAGACTTGGTTTTCTTGTACCGTTTAGCTGATGGAGCTTGTCCTGAGAGCTACGGACTTCAAGTGGCTCTCATGGCTGGAATACCAAACCAAGTGGTTGAGACAGCATCGGTCGCGGCTCAAGCCATGAAGAGATCGATTGGTGAAAACTTCAAGTCAAGTGAGCTAAGGTCTGAGTTCTCAAGTCTGCACGAAGAATGGCTCAAGACATTGGTGGGTATCTCTCAAGTCATCCACAGCGATAAAGCCGTATTCGAGGAAGAAGATGTCTACGACACTTTGTTTTGCTTATGGCATGAGCTCAGATCCTCTTGCAGTGTTGCCCAAGTAAAGGCCATTACATAAGACAACATAATTGCCGTTTTTTTTGCTTCTCCGAATGTTTGGTATCGGTCAACTCGAGAATGGTTATACCGGTTATCTGAGCGTGTAAACCGGACAGAATCCATCGAACTGATGCTCTATTCAAAGCATGTGTTCATCAGATTGCTTAATTCTCTTGCAAATGTCTTCAAATTTCTTTCAAAAGAAACATACAAATACAGAGATTCTGATTGGATAAGCTCAATAGAAATACTCATTCATAAAGGCATCTTCTTAACAAGGAAATATAATAATGCACTGATTTGAGGGAAATTGTCTTTAGCCTATATAACTAAAACTTGTAACCATCAAAACACGAGTTACAGAACTTTTTGTCGAACCTAAAACAGACAAACCTAGTAAATCATTTATCTATCATTATTCATCACTAAGATTCACATCAGAATCATTCGCCATTTCCTCATCTTCACTCACATCATCATCTGCAAGATTCTCTTCCTCTTCACGTAGCCTAGCAATCTCACTCTGAGCTCTCTCAACAATCTGTTTCTTCTGCAACTCCAAATCTTTCTGAAAATCAGCTCTCATCTTCTCCAACTCCTTCATCTGCTCTTTCTTACTCTTCTCCATCTTCTCATAAACCTTCCCAAACCTCTCAACTGAATCAGCCAACAGCTTATAAGAAGCCGCATCATTCATCTTCTTCTTCCTCTCGTAATCAACCTCACGATCACTATCATCATTATCATCATCATCATCGTCTTCTGAATCACCAGGACTATCCATCATCTCATCAAACCCATTAGATTTATCCAAGTAAACCTTAGTGTTCATAAACACAAACTCTCCTGAATCAACACCACAAGCCAAACCTGACTCTGATTTAGGAGAAGAGCCAAGCAACATATCCATCTTATTGAAAAACGACCACTTGCTCGAACCCAATCCAGATTTCTCAACTTTGGTCTTCTCTTTCCTATACTTCCTCTTCAGATTATCAACCATTCTCCGACACTGCGTCTCCGTCTTCTCCGACCTCAGCTCCTCGCTCACTTTCTCCGAGACTTCGTTCCAATCTTCGTTTCTCAAACTCCTCCGATTCAATTGCAAGAACCGATCACCCCAAACTTCAAGCAACACAAACGCCTCTTGCTCTCTCCAATCGTAAGCGACTTTCGAATCGCTGCTTGGACCACCAGCGAACTCGTAACCGGAAACCGGTTTGTTCGGTTTCTGCCTCTTCTGAAACCGGTGACTGTACTCACCTTCATCTTCTTCCTGCTCGATTTCGTCGTCTTCCTGGTCGTCTTCCTCTTCGTGGTAATACGCGTGGCGTTTGGAAATTGGTCGCGTATACATTGGATGGTTTTGGCGATTCAGAGAGTAAAACTTCTTTGGGTATCCGGTTTCGTCTTCGCTATCACCCATCTTCGAGCGAAACCAGAAGAAGACGAAGAGAGAGAAAAGAGAGATCTAGGGTTTCGAACTAGAAAGAAAGGTACCTGATTTTGCCACAAACAGAGAAAGATCTTCGAGGGTTTTTAGCTTGAGGAGTGAGAATGAGAAGAAATTGAGGTTAGCAATGGCCGTCTAGGGTTAGGGATCTGCATATTTTAGCCGGGTCGGAGGAGAAGCTACCACCACCGGTGAAACATGCTTGAGCCAACGACGGAGTTTTGTCGCGGCGTTTTTTGGGTCTAATTGGGCCGATTCCAGAATTTTGGACAGAACTAATGGGCCAAAAAGGCCTATGTGATATTTATTTTTAACCGATAGTCCGAGTGTTCTCAACTAAACTAACGATCATCAAAACACATGTGCAAAGATTACACTTTTCCGAAGAAAACTTATTTTTGTTTTATTCAAATAAATAGTGTAAGATGCTTTTTATTTAATTGTTCTTACAAATCATTTATTGTTGTTTGGACCATTAAAAAAAAAAGAGGGACATATCAGGTAAATGAAATAAGTATGTGCATTTAATATTAACATCAATTTAAGTGAAACATGAAAACAGAAAGCAATCTTTTTTTCAAAATATAAACTAGAACCTAATATATTCCGAAACATTTATTTATATATCTTAAGTAACACATCCAAAACACAACATCAACCGAATAAACAAACACTTTCATGGTTTCAGGAAGATCAAATGCTCCAGCAGATGTGTTTAGCTAAAGATCAAATCAACAAGAATGTCAATTTTACTTCTCTTTATCTTTGTCTTGTATGTATAAGTTATAACTAGTTCTCTTCAATAGAACCGTCTCAAACTATTTGTATATCTTATTCAAAAAAATAATATTAATGGATATTATTATAATAAATTAGTTTTATTTACTTGTAAACATAGACTCAAGTTATAAAATATAAATTAATTTTTCTATGTAAAGTTTCGTTTTAAAATTCGGACTATGTTCTGTTGCTCTACTTACACGTGTTAAAAATGTCTTGCTTTCATGAAGATAATATACTATAGATCTAAGATCACTAATGAAATACTACCAAAATTGTGAAAGGGTACTAGTACTAACTAAGTGGATTAATATATGTTTGTTTCTACGGTTTGATATAAATAAATGAAGGTTGTGCTTATTGCCAATGAAAATGTCGACCACGCTTCAATTCTGGTGTGTAATTATTATGCATCAAAAAGGTAAGTAAACAAATTCTTCTTTCTCATAATTTATCATTTTCTCTTCATCTAATCTCAAAGGAAATGACGATCGTGATAACATCATTAATAATCGCAACGGATTCTCTTATTGCATCATATTGAATGACCAACACTAGTCTCGTGATTGATTTGAGGTTTATACATCTCGTGTCTAATTATAATAAAATAATCATTTACAATACTATTTGAACTTTGTGACCTATAGAACATGAATTGAAAATTTAAGATTTACACCATCAATAGGAAGGAGCTTCCAAATAATACCAATTCTAACTCTTTACTACCTCGGTCATTCCCACATTGACATAAGTATAAGAGAAAAAAAAAAACATTTGATGCTTGAATATCAAGAAAAAAATATAATATCTTCGATGCTTGCGATGGCATTGTGGACAAAAACTTTGTTTAAATCTCATTAACATGTAATCACCCGTTTTCTCATATATTTCTTCAATGATTGTAAGAAAATTTTGGTTTTGGTCGTCTAAATTTAAATTACAAAACCCAAACAGTTATACATTTATAAAAGTAAATGCAATTTTTTTTATTAGTGAAACATTTTTAACAAGGTTCCCTGCGAATTATTTGATAAAACAGAATGTAAACAACTATTAGAATACCACAAACCTTTAAACATTCAAGTATCGAAAAATAAAGTTACATTAGTCTAATAAAATGAGTAGAGACTATTGTTTAGTAATTCACAGTACACTATGATATCAACGTTTATCAAATAAAGCAAATCGTTTTAGAATATTCAGTAGGTAGAGTCAAGAAATATGTGTTAATACTTAATATAGTTTTAACTTTTATGATCTTTTTCTAATGTAAGATAAAGTTCTAAAACGGTGTCATAATACTGATAAACCAACATAATAGTTTAAGCTATATACTTTTATGTTACACAATCAACTACAACAAAAAAAAAAGAAGAAATCAGTGGCATTTTGTAGATATATTCCATATAAAAATAAAAAAAAAAGTGTAGTAGTGGATAATTTGGGGGAGATGAGAACAAAAGTGAAAATTAGTACTATTAATGAAGTACCAAATATTTTGATAAGCCAATAGTATTCACGAAATATCTATGACGTGGATTTAAAAACGATGGCGTATGAGTGAGAGGTGACATCTCGTGTAAACCGTTACGAAGTTTCCAAGTCTTTGCAACAATCTTTTTCAACGCGTTATGAGTGGTTACGTTCGCTCTCATCCAATGCCAACTCAAAGCTTTCACCAATTTTTTTGTCTTTAGTCTTTATTTTCAGCATTTATTCCTTAATCTTTTATATTTATTTGGAGTCTTTATTTAAAAAATATAAAACCAGAAGTACTTAACAGAAAATGTTAAAAAAAAAAAAAAAAAAAAAAAAAAAAAAAACAGAAAATGTTAATCTTTGGTGAACCCACTAACTGCAGGACGCGCTATAGGAATTTTTGGAAAGTAGGTATTTGTTGGTATAATGTCAATATATATTCGCCCAAAACAAATGTCAAGATATACTTTCACAAAAAAAACACCAGATGTGATTTACTAAGATTTGAAATAGAATAGAGATCCATTTGATAGAAAGAAAAAAAAGAGGAATTGGTTAAGATAAAACTAATGTGATAAACAACAAAAATATAATTTTAAAAGAGGTAACAGTTTTTATTTGGCAAGACATGAGTGAAAAGATGGTTTACAAAATGCGGTTAACCATCAGACGGAACATCGGGAATGACATGCGATTCTAAGAAAACAAATGAAGTGTTTTTAAAAGTCATGCTTGACAAATTGTTTAAATTGTATACTTATATATATGATAACGATGGAACACTTTTTAACAAGGTAATGTTAAAATCACTAGAGAATTTATAAATAAAAAAATCTTATATAAGAAGATAATTTTATGATTTTTCTTAAAAAAGGAATAGTAAATATTGTGTAATCAAGTTTTCGGACTTAAACTTATATGGCTTCTTTGTGCTGGTAATGGATCTCTTTGGGTTGCTTGGATTTGGAAAATCATCATTCGAGAAAAGTTATTTTGGACGATGGATTTTCAGCACACTAGAAGTTGGATTTGGAAGCGATTAATGAAGCTTCGATCTTTGGCCCGTCCGTTTTTGGTGTGTAAGATTTCGTCGGGTCTCTCTGCCCTCTTTTGGCATGATAACTGGACCAGTTTCGGCCCTCTTATCAATGTTATCGGGCCTTCGGGTCCTAGAGTTTCGGGTATCTCTTCTATGGCAACTGTCAGTCACGTGTGCTCCAATGGTTCTTGGTTTATTTCTAGAGGAAGGCATCTGATTCTGGAACTCCTCCGTGCGTCTCTTCCTTCGAAGTTGCCAGCTAATATTGTGTCCAATACTGATCCTGATTATTTCCTTTGGAAGGTTCCATCGGACTCTGGTGCGGGGATCTTTTCAAGTTCCAAAACTTGGCGCGCGCTTCACCCTTCTTCTCCCTCGGTTCCTTAGTTTCGAGCGGTTTGGCCGAAGATTAGAATCCCCAAGCATGCCTTTCTCTTTTGGATTCTTATGAAGGACAGGCTTCCAAGTCGTGATCGGCTTAGGGGATGGGGTCTTGATGTTCCCTCGGTTTGTCTTCTGTGTGGTCTTGGCGATGAATCAAGATCTCATCTTTTCTTCCAATGCCAATTCTCTTTGGACTTAATTTTGGGTCTGTTTACGCACAACACTCTCAATCCTCCTCTTCTCCTTGACGGAATGGTTTCTTGGTTCAAGTCTTCTTCATCAAATAGGCGGCTGCAAACCATTGTTCAACTCCTCGTTCAGGCCTCTTCTTATTTTCTCTGGAGAGAACGTAATGCTCGTCTCCACTCCAATGCCTCCCTTTCTCTTCAGGTTCTTATGAATGAGATTCATCGTGTTATGAGAGCTAAGCTGGCGGGTTTAGATTCGTATCTAACTCGGAATCAGCTTCAGTATTCGCTCCCTCATTCTTCGTCTGTGGATTCTTATCTATACACATGTTTCGCCTATTTCCAGCCTTAAGTATCTTTTCACATTTGGATATCTAAGGTTGCTTCACATGCATTACTTTTTGATGGCTCTCTTAGATCTTCTCTATCTTATGGTCTTTATGTCTTCCGTTTTTAGTCTTATCATTTTCCTATAGGAAGTAAATTTAAAGGAGACAAATATTGCAATGTAAGAAAACGATTTGAGACACAGAAAAGCATTTTATAAAAGCGGATTAAGGAAAAACGAGAAGTGGAGGCGAGATGATCTCTTTCCTTAATTCAAAATATCTTCCGCAGTGTGGCGATTAGATGAGATAATGAATCCCAGGATACAACCACTGATATTCTTATAATCGCAGCACCTGATTATAGAATGCGACGAACTAATATTCTACGATATACTCTCGGACTTACTCGTGAAAGAGGAAAAGAGACGCGAGAGATTGAAGGAAAGTGTGAACGATTTTTTACTCTGTAATTTTGTGAGCAAAGAGCGATCGAGAAATGAGAGAGGAGATGTCGATATATATAGCGAAGGAGAGAGGAGCGTCGCATGTAATCAGCGTGATAATGACATAATTAATTGTGCGCTAATGACGTGATTTGGGCATTAATCTTGGCGTGATTTTCGGGATAGGCATTTGACTGCAGTTTAATATCGTGATTCTGTTAAGAATTTAAACCGAAAACTTTAGCAATTTGGGCCAGATATGTTGACCAAAACGTGGTCTAAAAAGAACATCTTTTGTGGGCCGAAAGCCCACATTCACCAAGACCCAAGACCCAAGACCCAAGACCCAAGACCCAAGACCCAAGCCCGAGCCCGAGCCCGGCTCGGCTCGGCGGCGGCGGCGGCGTGCGAGGGATCCTTGGTTCTCCTTCACACACTTTGAACTATGTCATGTGTGTGTCTATATTTATATGACTCTAAATTTTTCCAATCCTTGAATGTGGGACAAAATGAAGTTCCTCACATTTTAAGTTGCCTTGAAGGGC